ACCAAATGAACGAGTTGGCTTGGGCGTTGATAGACTCCTGCTCGGACTTCCTCTGGGTCGTGAGGGAGTCCGAGCAGAGCAAGTTGCCCGACGGGTTCTCGGACGCCGCGGCCCGAGGGAAAGGACTGGTTGTGCCGTGGTGCAACCAGCTCGAAGTGCTGGCTCACCGGGCCGTCGGGTGTTTCGTGACGCACTGCGGGTGGAACTCGACTCTGGAACTGCTCTGCCTGGGAGTCCCTGCGGTGGCGATGCCGCAGTTCACCGACCAGTTCACCGACGCGAAATTCATCGAGGATGTATGGGGGGTTGGCGTGAGGCCGAGATTGAACGAGTTCGGGACGGTGGGTAGGGAGGAACTTGGGCGTTGTCTTAAGGAAGTGATGGAAGGGGAGAGGAGTGAAGAGATGAAGAGGAATGCAAGGAAGTGGAGGGAGTTGGCTAAGGGTGCAATTAGCAAAGGGGGGAGTTCTGATAGGGTTATTAATGATTTTGTGGAGCACCTCAAGTGTCCTAAGGGAAATATCAATTATGAATGAGTAGTTTATACTCCTTTGTATCAGTGTGTTCAAAAATATTTTTCTCAATTCTATATATGTGTGGTTGGAAAGTTATTTTTACTTCATTAAGAGTACTTTATATACTCAATAAACACAATATTATTTATCTTAAATTTGTCTGTCTGATGTCCTTATACTCCAGAATTTTGTTTATCTACATGTTGTTTCCTTTTTTGTCTCATAGAAGAGTTTTCTTTTTCAAAATAGAACAAACTGTCTCAAAGTGGAGGGGATATTCTCATTACCTCGTAAAAGGCCCCCATTTTTTGTCATCAAATGTTATGCCTTCGTTAGGTACATAATGTGAATTTTATAAGTTCCTCTGGTGAGGTTCAAGCCAGGGAAATCCTAGGAAATCAAAGACCTGCTTTTCGGTTTCAAACTTCAAGCTTGCCCCTTTTTTCCCCTGCATAAGACCATGGGTTAATACAAACTGGGCACGCGCACGCGCACACACACACACACACACACACAACATCAACAACCTACTAAACCTAGTAACATCCCAATGCCGTTGAGGTACATATGGGGTCAAGATGTACAGACTTTTATCCTTGTAAAAACAAAGAGACAGTATCCATTAGACCCTAGATGGATTGTTGCATTTAGTACCCAAAAATTCATAGAAATTAAGAAGCAAAGATAGTTTAATTTGTCGTTTTGATTTAGTCCATTACACACACACACATACTCCCCTTGTCCCATAGCTAAAGTCTCACTTGGACTTCACACAAATTAAGGCAAATGTTAAAGTGTATTTGACTTCCTAATTTTGACCCTGAAGTGACACTGAAATATTAATGTAAGAGAAAAAGTGGTTGGGAAAGGTATGGGGATCTTTTAATGGGTTCGATAAATCAAAACTAGAAATTAGACTTTAGTTTTGGGATGCCAAACATGGAAGGTGGGACTTTAGTTTTGGGACGGAGGGAGTATATCACAGCAAATGAAGAAGCGATCATACTTGCTTCCTGTGGGAACTCTGAGTAACAGGAAACAACCCTGTATCATCCAGTCGAAAGCCCTTTGTTTCTGCCAACGATCTAAGCCTGCATGAGTGGAAAATATCACCACAGGGTATAAAGCTGTGTTCATCTGATTCACGAATTGTAGACAGAGCCGTAATTTTGCACTGTGAGGGGTGACTTTTTTAAAATTCTAATTTTGGCAAGAAATTCCACTGTTATTTAAATTATACATGAGAACGCTTACATATACTTCCTTTGTCCTTAAATTAAATTCACACTTTTTTTCATTTGTCTGAAATTAAACTCAACACATTCTCTTATTTCCTTTTGAAGAAATGGATATGTGGCTCGCAACATATCTTTCTCTTCTAACTAAACCAATTTGAATCACATTTTAACATTTTTCTAAAATTCCGTGAAGTAAATCTACAAGTTGGTTTTGGGGACCAAGGGATTATGTAGTATGGAGAATACGTACAACTTTGTGCATCTTTATTGATACATAAAAAGATGAATGAATATAGACATTGTGCATGTTCATATTGATTCAACTTTTGATGCATGAAAAAAATAAAGCAAGTTGGTTTATTCCAACAAGAGTGTAAAGATTCATAAATACTCTGTATATGGTATAAGGTGAACATACCTCCTGTTCAAAACATCATTTCCTGTCCATGCTATCAGTCCAAATGCATATATATCTCTTGGGTACACCTTTAAGATAAATAAATTCCTATGATTGGCTCAATCCACATGAAACCAATGTAATGGGCCATAAATTGGGGTTAGGTCATAGGCGGGGCTTGTGAGGGGTTAGGCAGTGCATTTGATGGAATTGACAGGGCATATTGGGATTAGGCAAAACTAGTCCAGAAAAAGCTTGATTTAAGGAACCCTAAACATCTAGGACGGGACTGATCAAATTGTTATTCCTCACAGAGTTGTTAGTCCCTGCATCGGGAGACCTAAATCCTCAAATATTGTATATTCACTCACATAGTCACATGCGAATTGACCGGCCCATACATGAAGGGGCCCTACCATTTCAAATTATAGAAATTTCATTTCCTCCTTTCTATGCAATATTTTCAGGAAAGATTTAGTGGTGCGACTACTGAACTAAATAAGAATGATGATGTGAAATAGAAATGCTCGAAACTAAGTATTCGTAGGAGCTTAAGAGCATAAATGGTGGTAAATGGTAAGACAGAGTTTATGAAATTACCTTGAAGTCAATGCGATGTCGCAGTTCACGACCAGGATAAGTGCAGAGACCAAAATATGTGTCTACTCCTGAATCTGTACCCTGTTTTCAAGGGTACATTGTCAAATCACATATGAAATAAGAATAGGCAATACAACCTGTCAGATTAAAATAGATGTCTCATTTCTTTATGAAACAGAAAAAGAGTGTAGTCCGTGATATATTGCGCTTCACCCTTGAATTTTTTCTGTGACATGTTATTTTGGTTTATGTAACAGAAACAAATATTAAGAACAGCTGAATAGAACAATGAGCAATTACCTCTTCACTGTGAACACTGAAGACCAAATCTTCCCTCAAAAAGTTCATATCTTTCAGATGTTTTACATACTTTGAAAGAAAGCCTATATGACTGAACAAAAACAAAACAATCATATTTCAACAAATATGACTTGAACTTGAAGCCCTGAAGTCCCATCCAAATTAGCTATTTTAGACTAAGTTCTGTTTGTAACCATACACAATGCTCCATAACAAAGAGGAACTCTCTCCAAGATCACATCAGCTTCGGGTGGAAATAATTCATTAAAAAATCATGACAATTTGTAGGGAGAGTCTCTTGGTCCCCTTGTTTAAAGGTAAAGGTGACATCCAGAGCTGCGAGAATTACAGAGGCATCAAACTACTTAGCCACACCATGAAGGTTTGGGAGCGAGTCATTGAGTATAGGGTGCGGAAAGGGGTATGCATCTCTGAGAACCAGTTTGGTTTCATGCCTGGTAGATCGACTACAGAGGCCATTCACCTCGTGAGGAGGTTAATGGAAGAGTATAGGGCTAGGAAGAAGGACCTCCATATGGTGTTTATTGATCTTGAGAAGGCGTACGATAGGGTGCCAAGGGAGGTCATATGGAGGTGCCTTGAGACGAGAGGAGTTCCAATCGCGTACACTCGCGCAATCAAGGATATGTATGATGGGGCTAGGACTAGGGTAAGGACCTCTGGGGGCGACTCTGAGTCATTCTCGGTAGGGATGGGGTTGCACCAGGGGTCGGCCCTTAGCCCTTTTTTGTTCGCCTTGGTGATGGACGTCCTAACTCAAGGTGTTCAAGAAGGGGTCCCATGGTGCATGCTGTTCGCGGATGATATTGTGCTTATCGACGACACACGTGAGGGACTAAACCATAAGTTGGAACGATGGCGCCTTGCCCTTGAGACTAAAGGATTCAGAATAAGTAGGAACAAGACTAAATACATGGAATGTCGTTTCAGCGGCCGGGAAACAGAATCAAAAGTGGA